TTATTAATCCTTTTTGACATCCCTACAAGGTTTGTGTGCTTGAAAGCAGACCGCAATGGACAGATAAAGAAAACACAGGCTGAACTCAAAGTCAGCTAATTTTTAGATACATATGGTATCAATATAATCAATAATGTTCTTCATTCTTAAACTGAGCTCTTTCTAGTACATCACCTTAAGACAATTCAGCTTGGCAAACAGTCCAATGACCTACTCTGCAGAGATAATGATTTCTGCTGAAAATTAACAGAGATTGTAGACTTTATTTCCCTTGCTACATATTTTACATAAGGACAGACGGGGAAAAAAACAGGTGCTAGGTTAGTTTTTAGAATGAAATGAGATAAAACATACTTTAATACCACGAGAGAGATTATTTTGTTCACAAGTAAATGTATTAATACTAATCAAATTCAACTGGGACTCCTCCAAAGAGGTAAAATTTCAATCTGGCAAATGTTTACTGAGTATGATCTTTGCTAGGTAGTTCCCAGGATTCTTTACAATTCCAGCTCTTTTTTTTTTTTTTTTTAAAGATTTTATTTATTTATTCATGAGAGACAGAGAGAGAGAGAGAAGCAGAGGGAGAAGCAGGCTCCCCGCTGAGCAGGGAGCCCGATGCGGGACTCGATCCCAGGACCCTGGGATCATGACCTGAGCCGAAGGCAGACGCTTAACCATCTGAGCCACCCAGGCGCCCTACAATTCCAACTCTTAAAGGAACTTGCTTAGGATACAAGACTGAGACATTAAAAAAACAAAAAACAGAAAAACAACCCTTGTTAGGGAAGAAACTGGGAGCTCTACAACAAAACAACAATATAAACAGCTACTTAAATGTTCCATTACTATAAGTTCTTTAAAAATATACTGGCCCTTGGGTGGCTCAGTTGGTCAAGCATCCGACTCTTGATCTCAGCTCAGGTCTTGATCTTAGGGTCATGAATTCAAGCCTCACACTGGACTTCACACTGGGTGTGGAGCCTACTTAAAAAAATGTACTGGCCCTTTCAGAAGCCAAGTTATTATAATGGCTGAGGTTTTTGTTTCAAATTCTTCCAGAAAGCCATTTACAGTTAGACAGCAACTATCCTAAAGTTATTATATGTCAGCACATAATATAAATATTGTTTGATTTGAAAAAGAGAGCAAAGAGACTAATCAGAAGAGCAGGGAAAAACTAGGGCTGTAGAGGCAGTATGATACACTAATAAGAACAAAACCAGAAGCAATAAGCCTGGGTTTCTAGTTTCACAGAACTTGTATGACCCTGACCAATCTCCATGGGCCTTAATTCTTCAATAATAAAATGAGATGTAATGGTAATATCCCAATTATCTTTTCCAGCTATAATATTCTGTGACTGAAATAATGTGACTGGCTTTAAAACAGGGGTCGGGGAAGGGACGCAAGGGTGAGGAATGCAAGAGATTACCCTTTTAATTGGGGTCATGATGTTGTAAACAACTAGATAAACTTCAATTGCAAGAAAGCCACAACCACGTCTTCTGCTTGTCCCCAAATCTGCCAATACTACTATATAACTAGCATTTAGTCTCCCTTTCCAGGTCTTTTCTTCCATAGAGAACCAACGCTTCTGAATACTTCTCGAGTTCTTTGCAAGATGACAGTAAGTAATGATCAACCTAATTTAAAAGCTAAGTAGTTGGCTACATTCTTATCAGCTACATAACGTATTCTCCCACATCAATTTTATGGCATACAAGATTCAAATTCATGCCTCGCCAAAATCATTATTATATATCAAGAATCCTTTTGACAACTCCTAAGTGGGCTAATTCAGAAAATACTCAATCTATGGATGATAAATTCATAAAACAAGAATCTTAATTGGTCTTTTCCTCTTCTACTTATGAATGGGAAGAAAAACCAGTAGAATAGGGTCTCAGAAAATAATTATTTTGTTATTTTTCTCTTCTTTCCTAAAAACTCTTTCTCTATTAGCAGATATAAGAAGAGTCAAGGTAATATAGCTAATAGGATGAACAAGGCAGGTTAAGAAAACTTGGGGATGGGGAGCAGGCACTAATGCAATGGGTACTTTAGAAGGAAGGCTTGAAGTCCCACACTTAATGCTATAAAAGTACACTGTAAACATCAATGGTTGCCACAGCTGATGGAGTGAAACCTGTTGTACAAGACTAAGGAAAAAAGTAGTAATGAGTGATAACAGCAAGGATTAGCAGGAATGGTCTCACAGCATATATAAGCATTTGACTGACAGAATATTCTTGGTATGTTTTACCCATAGTATGCATACTTAATGTTTGTGCTTAGTTGCTCTCTTTCTGATAGGCCACAATATCCAATTTGCACACAGTCCCTTGGGTTCATAGCTGTAGATATATACTGTAATGCCGAAGTAATAAAATGCCTAAGATTGACATCAAAACAGTCTAGGGTGGGAAGACCATTTATAATTTAGCTGGAGGATACATACTTTTGTTTCAATTTGCAATTTTCTAAAAGTAAAAATTTTTATTTAAATAACAGACTTCGGGCGCCTGGGTGGCTCAGTTGGTTGAGCGACTGCCTTCCGCTCAGGTCATGATCCTGGAGTCCCGGGATCAAGTCCCGCATCGGGCTCCCTGCTCAGCGGGGAGTCTGCTTCTCCCTCTGACCCTCTTCCCTCTCGTGCTCTCTGTCTCTCATTCTCTCTCAAATAAATTTAAAAGATATTTTTTAAATAAATAAATAACAGACTTCAGTGCCTACTTTACTAACCTAGACTTGTAATGTAAGTGAAAGCATATTAGCATGAAAGGAAAAGGACGTGTTCTTGGATTCTATAACATACCAGGAGAACTCTTCACTTACTGACAGCCAAAACAGGTATTAGGTATTTATCTCTGACAACAGATACCTACTCTACAGCTCCAGATCATGCTACCTTTTAACTGCTATCTTGAGACTTATAACATAACCAGGCCCTGCACCTGAATACTTTCTCACCTCTCTTGAGGTTCAAAACTTTTTTTTTGAACTCACAAGTACATGTTCAGTGAATCCTTTATCAGTTCCTCACTTGACCACTTTAATTCCTCGGTTCCTTTCTATAGTAAATGGCAGCTATGTAATCCCGAAACCTAAAAATCATTTCTTATTTCCTCCTTCCTTTTACTTCTCACAACCAATCCAACAGCAAGTCCTGAAATACGTATCTCAAATCAGTCTATTGTCTCCAGCACTACTCAGGTAATCCAAACCACCACACCTCGTATACTCTAGTAAAACAGCCCCTTTATTAGTCTCCTTAACACCTTCAATCCAATTTCATGATTTAAAATTGAGTGAGAGAGACTTGTGGTGAAGACAGAGCAGACCCACAACAACCTCTCTCTCCCTCTGGCTGGATGCAACTAAAACCTGTGAACAAAAATACAAAAAGCAACTTCCCATACAAAAACGTGTACATAGATGTTCACAGTAGCATTATTCATAATAGCCAAAAACTGAAAATAACCCCAATGTCCATCAATTGATGAATGGATAAACAAAATGTGGCATGTGCATACAATGGAATACTATTTAGCAATAAAGGAACAAAGTATTGATAAATGTTACAATATGAATGAACCTTCAAATCATTACACTATATGAAAGAAGCCAGTCACAAAAGGCCACATATTCTATGATTCCATTATATGAAATATCCAAAATTACAAGTTTATGGAGACAGAAAGTACATTATTGATTGCCTAGGGCTGGGGTACTGGGGTGAGGCAAGGAAGGGGAGTGACAGCTAATATTGCAGGGTTTCTTTGGGGGTAATGGAAATGTTCTGGGTGAATATATTAAATAAAAACCACTGTGTGGCTCCTGGATGGCTCAGTAGGTTAACCGTCTGCCTTTGGCTCAGGTCATGATCCCAGACTCCCGGGATCGAGTCCCACATCGGACTCAGCACAGTCTGCTTCTCCCTCAACCCCTCCCCCTGCTTGTGCTCGCTCTCTCTCCCTCTCTCAAATAAATAGGATCTTTTTAAAAAAAGAACAAACACTGGACTGTATGCTTTAAAATGCTTTTACGGTATGTTCATTATATATCAATTTTTATTTTTTTATTTATTTATTTATTTTAAAGATTTTATTTATTTAATCGACAGAGAGAGACACAGTGAGAGAGGAAACACAAGCAGGGGGAGTGGGAGAGGGAGAAGCAGGCTTCCCGCGGAGCAGGGAGCCCGATGCGGGGCTCGATCCCAGGACCCTGGGATCATGACCTGAGCCGAAGGCAGACGCTTAACGACTGAGCCACCCAGGCCCCCCATTATATATCAATTTTTAAAAAGCAACAACCTAAAACATTAAAAATCAAGAAAGCTGGCACATCTGGTAAGTCAAAACTTTATTCATATGGAGTATGTAGTAAAGAATTTACCTTTACCCAAAGAGAGGTCTGCCCTTTGCCTTTGGACTAAGAAATACCAACCATATTGATGACTATCAGAATGATTTTTTAAGAGACTGATTGATCGATTGCTTTAATTTAGAAAGGGTGCTGGATGGCTCAAATGGTTAAGTGTCTACCTTCAATACAGGTCATGATCTCCAGGTCCTGAAATTGAGCCCCAGATAGGGCTTCCAGCTCAGTGGCGATTATGCTTCTCCCTCTCCCTCTGCTTCGCCCCCCCTGCTTGTGCTCTCTCTCTTTAAAAAAAAAAAATTCAACTCCAATAATCCACCAGATAAACAGGCTAAATAAGAAAAAAACATGAGTTGATTTTGACTGTCAAGATGTTTTCATAAAAAAGTGAAGATAAAAGATTGATGTCCATGTCCTAAGGTGAGAAATCTTAGATCCCATACAGAGAACAGCCATGTATCTGTTTAGCTAGAGTGCAGCTGGAGTGCAGATGGAAACAAATCAAGGGAACCAAAGTGGTGTGTGGGGCCAATGATCTCAATTACTCTACTTAAAAACTACTGAAAGCTGCTGTGCTAGTTATCAGTTTATTGACTTTCAGCTCCAAATCCAACCTTCTGTGTCCTTCTCTGTGGTAGTGGAGCTGGACCCTATAAACACTTCCTTTGCCAGCCGGCTCGATGTTAAGTTTTGTCAGCGGAGCACCGGAAGAACACTGCAGAATGAAGGGGGGCTTTTCTTTCTGGTTTACTGTGCCCTTGCCAGCCTGCTCTTACGGCAGGCAGCACCCAGCAACATGAGGGACACTCAATGGCACCCACCTTCAGCAAGGTTCAGCAGAATGACTATGGGTGGCTTCCCAGAAAATTCTGCTAGTGCCTCAGCTGGCTCCCCAGTGAATGTGGGACAGGTACCCAGCAGGAAGTTTTCCAGCAAGTTCTACTAATACCCAGTAGGCAGTTTCCTAATTGCCAGCCCAGGCTACAGCACCAGTGAACTTTGTCATCCATTGGACCAGAGCCCCACCTACTCCATTAAGATCTGAATCACAACCTAGGGACATAGAGGGAGATCTCGAAAGTTACTCTTTCTTAGGGCACATTGCCTCAGCCCTACAGGTACTGGTTACTCCCTTTAAATAGTTAAAATTTCTGGTTAACCAATTAATAACTTCCAGTTAACTGAATAACTTCCCTGTTTAAATTACCACGTAGCTTTTGTCTGCTGACCAGACCCTGAGACGTAAAACTGTATAGCTCCAAGACTGCAGAAAATATCTCTGAAAAACCCTTTTAAGTTCTTAAAGGGACTAGTACCTCACTCTTTCTCAGCCAGGAGCCAATCACTTCATTTTTAATACTTTTTTTGTTGGTTGGTTGTGGCAAAATATACGCAACGTGCAAGTTACCATCTGAACCATTTGTAAGTATAGATTTCAGCGGCACTGAAAACACTCAGTTATGGTTATGCAACCATTACCACTGCCCATTTCCAGAACTTTTTCATCATCCCAAAAAAAAAACTCTGTACTAATTTAAACAGTAACTCTCTATTCTTCCCTACTCTCAGTCCCTGGTAACCTCCATTCCACGTTCTGTCTCTAATGAGTTTGCCTGTTCTAAGTACCTCATATAAATGGAACTGCAGAGTATTTGTCCTTTTTTTTCTTCTGTTGCCACATCACTATTTGTCCTTTTGTTTCTGTCTTATTTCACTTCGCATGTTTTTCAGGTTCATCCACATAGCATGTATCAGAATTTTAATTCTTAAGGGTGAATAATATTCCACTGAATGTATATACTACACTTTATTTATCCACTCATCTTCTGATGGACATTTGGGCTGTTTCCACCTTAATGTATTTTAAAATAAAATAATATAATATGGAATAATCAAAATTAAGTGAGCTTCTTCAGAATGGGGAACACAGTGTGCCTGGGTGGCTCAGTTGGTTAAGCAACTGCCTTCGGCTCAGGTCATGATCCTGGAGTCCCGGGATCGAGTCCCGCGTCGGGCTCCCTGCTTGGCGGGGAGTCTGCTTCTCCCTCTGACCCTCCCCCCTCTCATGCTCTCTCTCTCTCTCATTCTCTCTCTCAAATAAATAAATAAAATATTAAAAAAAAAAAAAAAGAATGGGGAACACAGGGAAAACTATAAAGGGAAGAAAGAATTGAGAGCCAGGTACTGAGGACCGAAGAATGAAAATTAAGAAGTAGCATATCTTCAATAAAGAAATTATCTATTTCATTCTGTAACCTGTCTAAAAACTTTAAAATTTATAAGACTATCATTCAACACAAAGCTGCAGCAAGAGAATAAGCTGTAACTGTATCTGAATATAATCTTCCAACCCCTGATACTTCATATATGCATTAACAAGTAGGTTTTCAAGCACAAAAGAGAAGGGGAAAATGAGCAGATGCCACTACCCTCATAGAGCTACCTTAATGTAAGCTACAGAGAAGCTGTATGATTTTTTTTAAAATCACAAAAATATGTAATTTCAAGCCTTAAGTGGTATGAAGAAATAAACAGAACACTATAATACACAAAAAAAAGAAATCTGCTCTAGCTTGTAAACTCAGCCAAAGTTCTCTGAATAAGACATACTCAAACTGACACCTGAAAAATAAGATGGAACTGAGAGAAAAGCACATTCCCTGCTATGAAGGCAGCATATACAAAGGCTGAGGTGAGAAACAGCTTCCCTACCTATTTGAGAATTGACAACATATATATTTAAAGCTATGGGGATGGACAAAACTGCATTAAGTTAGAAGGTAATGAGCAAAAAAACTGAGAAGGAAGAAGGAAGAATGTCTGTGGTCACTTCAGGCAACAAAACAGAGTTTCAAGAAGGAAGCAGTAGTCAACTGTGTTAAATAATTCTAAGAAGAAAGAGTCAGGAACGAAAAGTCCCATGGAGTTAACAAAATGGAAGTCATTGGTGACTTAGAACTGCTTTGTGGTCACATAACGGCATCACAACAATATAGTTTAACCAAGGACAGCTACTTATAAATTGTTATCACTAAGCAAAGCCAGAAGGTATTTTTGATGACTCTACCATCTTGCTACTTTTTCTAAATTTCTTCTTTTTGCCCTTCTTTATTGACTATTCTTGCCTGCTCCCTAGAAATGATAACGACAAGTTTAAAGTCATAGAGCCTTAGTATGTTGGAGCTAGATGACCCTGACTGGCATTTAGACCTAAGGGACTGATGGGAGTCTGGTATCTATACACCAGATATCCTAGTCAATTTCCCCAGTGTATCAAAAATCTAATTTTAAGGGAAAAAAAATGAAATCTCTTGCTCATTCCTATTCTATAAGTCAATAGCATTATAAAAGAATATTAGAATACCTTAGCAGAATTGTTCCTCATACCACAAAAATCACTGTCCTTTTCTCCTATACCTTTACACAAATTGGTGGGATTAAATAGGCATTCTGCGGGGATGGGGTAACTGGGTGATAGACATTAAGGAGGGCACGTGATGTAATGAGCACTGGGTATTACATAAGACTTATGAATCACTGGGGGCGCCTGGGTGGCTCAGTCGTTAAGCGTCTGCCTTCGGCTCAGGTCATGATCCCAGGGTCCTGGGATCGAGCCCCGCATCGGGCTCCCTGCTCCGCGGGAAGCCTGCTTCTCTCTCTCCCACTCCCCCTGCTTGTGTTCCCTCTCTTGCTGTGTCTCTCTCTGTCAGGTAAATAAATAAAATCTTAAAAAAAAAAAAAGGACTTATGAATCACTGAACTCTACCTCTGAAACTAATAATACACTATATGTTAATTACTGAATTTAAATTTTAAAAAAGTAAAAAATAAAAAATACACAGTATGCTTTAATTTTAATCTAATAAATCTTATTTAATTCAAATAAAAATTTAGAATTGTATCACTGATAAATTAAGTGATTAATTTTTTAATTTACAAAAATGTTTAAAAGCTGGGCGCCTGGGTGGCTCAGTAGTTAAGCATCTGCCTTCGGCTCAGGTCATGATCCCAGCATCCTGGGATCGAGCCCCGCATCCTGCTCCCTGCTCGGCGGGAGGCCTGCTTCTCTCTCTCCCACTCCCCCTGCTTGTGTTCCCTCTCTCACTGTCTCTCTCTGTCAAATAAATACATAAAATCTTTAAAAAAAAAAGTTTTACAGGGTGCCTGGGTGGCTCAGTCATTAAGCGTCTGCCTTCGGCTCAGGTCATGATCCCAACGTCCTGGGATCGAGCCCCACATCGGGCTCCCTGCTCTGCGGGAAGCCTGCTTCTCCCTCTCCCACTCCCCCTGTTTGTTCCCTCTCTCACTGTGTCTCTGTCAAATAAATAAAAAAATCTTTAAAAAAAATAAAAAATAAATGTTTAAAAGCTAATTCCTCAAATGCATTTCAATGTTTCCATTTACAAATGTTCACACAATTTCTCAGAGACATATGTTACATAAAATGAAATAATACTAATTTATACTTCATTGTTTCATAGTAATAAAACAAAGCTAATTTATTCCCAGCCTACTGACATTTGGCCACAAGTCAAAACAAAATTTTTTTAGCTGTTAGCAAAGGGCCAAAAACTCAATTCTGTATTAAAGAAAGAATTAAAATCTAAAACATGCAATAGCTATGTATCAAAAAATATATTACTGTCCATTTACAAATATTTCAGCATAGCTCACTATTACTCTGGCATCTGAGCTGAACAGTTCTTCAGTGTGAAGGACTGTCTGGCACAATGTGAGACATTTAGCATCCATGTTTCCTGAACATTAAATGCCACGGTGCTCCCCTTCTTTCTAGACACTTTGAAAATCAAAAATAACCTCATAAATTCTGAACACTTTCCCTAAGGGCATTTACACAATGCCACCCCCACTTGAGAACAACTAGTAGCAATTTTAAAGCACCACAACTTTTCCCACCTTAATGAAAATATCTCTCAGGTAGATTCCCAGATTTCCACGTTAGCAATACCAAGTATGTTGACCATAATTTTAACATTTCTTGATGGGAGAGGGTCTTAATTATGAAGTGACTATTATGTGCTATTCTTAATATAAGGCTCTTAGAAATTAAAGTGTGTTTTATCTTTGGTCCTGTATTAATTGACCCCAAGCTGTTTTATTTGTTGTACATAAAAGTATTACTTGAAATATATACTGCTTTGTTTGTATTTTTTCCATTTTATTCCTTTTGGCCAAGGTTACTTCTTCCTAGACTGTCTACCTCGAGCATTCTCCCTATACTAGAGAATATTTTTTACCTGCTAATGACCAAGCTTATTAAATCAAAAGCCTGAACTCATAGATGAAGGCTTGAAGATGGCTCCAGGCCTTCCTAAGAATTAAAGTGCATGGGTTGGACACAACTAAGAATTTTTTTTTTTTAATTTACTTGTGGTTTTGTAACTGTGCTATGACTGAAAACTTCAAAGATCTGACAACTGAACAAATCAGAAATTAGCAAAGCAGTTATTACTAAATCATCAATCTTCAGAACTAATGTACACTGCTATACACTATGAAATACTCTAATCAAGTATTATAATTATTACTAATAATATTTAAATAACTCACCTGATTTCTTTTAGTCCTTCTCTCTGGATAACTTGAAGAATTTCTTTATGACTCATGGGTGTATTGGGGTATTTTTCTAAGACCTGAGAAACAAGTATATAATAATAAATTATTTCCTTTTATTTTATTATAATTATATATGTAATTATATTTCTTATTCTTACTAAAACTACGTATTAATTTCACCCAGCACATACATATCCAGAGACTTTCCATCCCTTATATTTTGGGACAATAAGAAAAACAGAAAATTAATGGAATATAAACAGGTTCTTCTCTCTTTTAGCCACAAACAGTATGTCAAGTCCTGAAGTAGAAATGGATCAAAAAGGATAACTATTATTAATATGTAATATGAAATTATGTTTACTTTCTGCCTTCACCCCCATATCACAGGCCTAACTGTAGATCTATAGATTATAGGTACTTAAAGATTATGGGCGCCTGGGTGGCTCAGTCGTTAAGCGTCCGCCTTC